CTGGCAAGGCATCTTTGACACCTTTTCAGGACTATTTGGACGAACTGTTCATCCATCACCATTCATCTCTCTCTTCGGCTCCAGCAGAAGCTTCCCTCGGTGAACATCAGAGGACGGTGTTAGCTTTCTGCTCTCTACTGGCTAGAAGACTTATTCTTCTTCGATGGAAGGATCCACATCCTCCAGTATATGGTCACTGGTTAAGAGAAGTTATGTCTTACATTCATTTAGAGAAGATTAGATATACTGTTAGGGATCTGTAAACAAATTCTTTGACATTTGGCAGCCATTTATATCTTATGTAGAAAAAAATTTGGCAGCTAATTTTGTGTAAAGGTTGAATATTGTTTCATTGTACACAAACCTGTTTATTGTATCACTTGTATGAATACAAGATCGATTTTGGTTGTTTCAGTGGATCCGGTATAGGAGGGGAGGGAGGGGAGGGATTTTGGGTTTGTGTGTTTTGTTTTGTGTTTTTGTAAGTCTGTTCTTTTTTGTGGTTTGTTAAAAAAATTTAATAAAAAGACCTTGATCAAAAAAAAAAAAAAAATTACGTTTGGAAACTTTTCTCTCTCTTTGAGCCTATGTGTATCTAACCACATGGTGGCACTATGATGTCTTCCTTCTTTATTTTCTTCATTTTCTCAGCTTCTGTTTCATTAACAGGCAGGACAGAAAGGAGCTGCTTGTTGAAGCCTGTTTTTATGCTCTATGTAAAATGATTTATGACTGCACAACAGAAAAGCAACTCGTTCAAGTTAAACAATGACATTTATTTGATTCTTTCATTTAGTCATAAAATAAAGCACTTTAGTATTAGTGTTTCTTTTCTCTCTCAAACTTAATGAGATTTTACATAAATGTTAAAAACGAGACGTTAACTTTTGTTTTTTATCACTTTGACTCAGTTAAATGTTGAGCGTGAGGTTTAATGAAAGTAATAAGAATGAAAGCTGGTTTTCTTTGGGACTACAGAGACATTATGTGTTTTAAAATGACTGCAGCAGATTGAGCTGTGCTGCCATGCCTGCTGTGAAGCTGCAGAAATGAGAACAGTCTGACCTCTTCTGTAGAAGTGGTCCACACGTCTGCAACCCAACACTCTGCAGCCCCTCTCAGGGGGGCTTCTTGGCTTTTAAAACAAAAAATGACATGAACATAAGTAATGTTTGGATTAAAAAGATTTAAAAAAACATAAAAAAGCTTGAGATATTTACCAGTTTTTTCCGGACCGGATGCTTGAAGTTTAGGCCTGGGTGTTCTGCAGCAGACTCATCAGGTGGGCTAACAGAAATAAGCACATATCAGCCAGAGGAAATGCACTTTCAGCTGAATGACTGCTGCAAGTTAAGACAGAGGACAAAACTGAGTTGTTGAAGCTAAACAAATTCAGAACAGCAGCTAAAAGGAGCAAAATATGTAGCTAAAAATTAAAGAAGCAAATAAAAGCCGGAGTAGCAAAATGTAAGTTAAAGACTAACAGGAACAAAATGCTAACTAAAGGCTAAAAGTACTGAAAGCAAAAAGATAAATAAAATAAAATAATAAAATAAAATAATTAAAAGCTAACATGAGCTTCTAGTTAAAACTAAAAGAAACAAATAAAAGCCAAAGTATACTATTTAAGCTAAAAGCTGACAGAAACAAAATGCTAGCTAAAAGCTACATTTATCCAAGGCAGCAAAAAAGTTAAAAGCTAAAAGGAGTTTAAAACTAAAAGAAGCAAATAAAAGCCGAAGTAGTAAAATGCAAAAACTAACAGAAACAAAAGACTATAGAAAGTTACAAGTTACAAGCTAAAGCTAAAGTTGTTTACTAATAGCTAAAAGTACCAAAAGCAGCTACAAAATTTTTGTTAAAAGGTAAAGGTAGCAAAAAGTGTGCTAATAGCTTAAAATCTAAAGCAACAAAAATGCTAAGATAGCAAAAAGGCTATTACATTAGCAAAAGGGAACGTAAGAGTTTAATAAAAAAATGCAAGCTAAAAGCTAAAAAAATTAGTTAAAATGTAAAAGCTAAAAGCTTGTTAAAACTAGAACAAAATGGTATTTTAAAGTCATGTAGTGAAAGGAAAGTTAAGAGTTAAAAGTAACAAAAAAATGGCTAATTAGAAGTTCAAGTAGCACGAGAAGACAAAAACATGACAAATAAGCTGAAGCTGAATTTAAAAAGAACTATGTTTTGGAGGAATTGTAAAAATCTCGTTATATTTCTATGGGGGAAAAAGTTAATAATTTAATATGTATAAAAGTTCCAAAAACCAAAACAGACAGATCCACTCTCCTAAATAGACCTAAAATTTTGATAGACTAAAATAGCACTATATGCAGATAGAAAAATAGATACATGATCAACTGTTTTACCTCAATTTTAAGAGTTCATTAGAGCAGTGGTAAAATAGTAAAGCTTGCAGACTCCTACAGAGAAAAGCTGGCTTCAAGTTCCTAAAAGTTTATTATGCGGTTGAGAGAAAAACAATGGACATAAAGAAGTACTTTCAAAAACTCAAACAAAACTGAAAATAGAGTTTTGCACGGGACGAATATCTCAGAGCCTGATACAATTATCCATCTCCTGCAGGAGCCGTAGACAGCTGATTGAGAAAGGCAGCGGAAGTTGCTGTTGGACACTCTGAGCCACATTTGCAGATAAAAGGTTTGGTGAGAAAACTAGGCCATTTCAGCATTTGCAGAACACATCATCCAGATACGAATGTGTCATTGTTATCTGGGCATTATGTGGGCCACAGCATGAGAATCCCTCCTGATGTTGTCAAAAAGAATGACGCAGGAGATAGGGCCAAGGACTGAGTGTGCATCATGACTTTATGCATCAGCAACATCCACACTTGACTGATTAACCAGTAAAACCTGTTCTGTCTTCTAACCAGGATAACAGAAAAGTAAATCAGAGGAGTCCAGTGAGGAAAGTCAAATATTCTTTAAAAAAAATGTGCAACCAACACGACGATGATTCGGCCACACGAGCCTGGATTTGTCTGATAATTGTTCAGTTCTTGCTCTTCTTGATGATTTATACTCAGTGTCTCACACCCACTCCTCTGCTCCATCATAACCAGTTGAATTTCTGAAGGTCGACAACCGGATCAAACTTTTTCATCCATGTGGTCCGAGCAGCTCGGACAACTTTAACCAATGAAAACCAATCGGCAGTTTCAAGTCTGCATTGATTTTCAGCAAAATGTAGAAAGTGTTTATAGCTACTTTTTTTTTTAAGTTCAGTGCTGCAGATAAATGAAATGAGTGAAAACTGGATTTGCTATTCCTTTTTTTGAAACAGTGGCTTTTAGTCTAATCATTTTTATGGGCTAGTTTTGCACTTCTGAACCTGTGGGCGGAGACTTTTTGGGCCCTTGACTCAGAAGTTGTTCTGATTGGAAGGCTCAGGTCTGCTGTGAGGGCAGTGCGGTGGAACTGTTCTCATCCCAGGAGGGATTTTCAGCTTTGTTGCTTTCCTTTCCATCTTTTTGAACAGTTGGATATTTAGCCACAACGAGGAATATTGGAAATCTGTGAAGAGGAACGAGGAGCTTATTTATACTTTTACAACATGACACGGACAAACATAGGATGGACTTTTAGTTTGGATTTTGGTTGTTGGAAGGAGGATGTGTTTGCGCTCTGACTGACAACAAAACAAAAGGAAGCAAAAAAACAGTTCCAACATATTTTATGTGGTTTAAACTCTGTTCCATGTAAAAGAGTCAGCGTTGACAGGAAGGAGTAAACTGTAACTTATCACCAACTTTTCCATCGGCGCAGGGCGTGCGCGCGCTTCGAGCTTTCAGGAGTAAAAAAACTAAGATGGAAAGCAAAATAAACGTGAAGATGAGCGCCATCAGCACCACTTCGATTGCTGACTCGACAGATTCCAGGGTAAGTGACCTGGCTGATGATGGTTTTAGTCGCTCCGCTTCAAAATCATCCGCCGAGTCACGATCTGTGAGCTGCATGTCCTCTGCGCGTCATTTCGGCACCGCTGGCGCGCACATCCACGCTCTGAATCCAAGCGGCGACTGCGCAGTTTATAAAGACTGTAACATCATCGATGCTTCACTGGCTGCAAAACCGTTTTACGACCGAAACAGTGAGTATTTAAAGACCGACCATGTCCCGTGGGAAGACTTTGTCAAAGTTCAGAGGACGAGCGCGGCCGTGTCCGACAGTCTACCCGGCGTCAGTTTGGGCCAGTCCTCCACCTCAGGGGTTCCGTGTAAGTTCATCAAAAACGAAAGGGAGCCCTCCGTGATCATGGACGCGTCCTGCACGAGGTTCGAACCGTCCCCCGAGATACCCGCCCTCGACACCTGCTGCGACGCGGACAGCAAGCAGCCCCGCGGGATCGGCGAGGGGGAGCCCAGCGGCTTCGGCGCGCCTCGACCGGGGCTGGAGGCGCACGGCTCCCCGAACTTCCTCATCGACCTGAACGCGTCAGAGCAGCTCGCCAGCCAGGTGAGGGCCGACTCCAGGTGCGCTCTGTCCACCAAGGCTGGCATCGGCTTCGATGGTGGCACGCACTCCCCCGCCGCGCAGCACGCTGTCGCCCGCTGGCAGCTGCAAACTCCCCCCGGCGAGCCTCAGTTCTGGCCGGCGGGCGTCACTGAGGAGGGCTTCCCAGCCAGCAGCTACGATGGAACCCAGAACCAGCACCCATCTCAGAGGAACCCATCCCCTTTCTCTGCATTCCCAGGGTATTTATTACTATTTTTATTTTAACTTTAAATAATTAGCCTTATAATATATTCTGTGCCAGATCCTAGTCTTTATTTCAGCCAGTTAACCCCAAAATGATACATCTTAGAAAGCAGGAAATGTTTTGGCTTAATTTACCTTTTCTGGCCATAAAAAAGAAAATTTATAAGCTTCAGATGACTCAACCAAAGAGCACGTTTGTCTTTTTTTCCCCTCCAGGATGCAGCCTCAGAGAATGTGTGTGATTTGTGGTGATGAGGCGTCTGGCTGCCATTATGGAGTTCTAACCTGTGGAAGCTGTAAAGTCTTTTTCAAAAGAGCAGTTGAAGGTGAGCAAAGAAAGCTGATTTCCAGAAAAATGTGACATTTTGTAAAGTGACCATTGTCCCCCCATGGCCCCCTCCTTGACAGCGCCCCTGCTCATTAACTTTTTTTTGATGAAACTTTCAAACATTAATCGTATGACCTCTCCAGCTAATTACCATTTGGAGTTATCCCGATTTAAGATGGCCGCCACAGCAAAGCAATCTGGACAAATACAGAAATGGTTCTCAGGTAGTAGCTGAGACTCCCCCAGTTTATACTTTGAACACCCAAGATCTGCTAAAAGCACTAGAATCAACTGCGTTAGCAAGAATATCTCATGGATCCCTGAACAGATTTAAATGAAACAAAAAAAATCAATTAGATGTACACAGCTGATTAATATTTGGAGCCAACCTGATTCAAGATGGCCACTGGAGCCAACAGAAGCTACAACTCAGCCAGTTTTGCAAATGACAGAAACATTTGGGGTGGTAGATGAGCATTATCCCCAACCCATAGTCTGAGCATAAGTTTAGCTTAAAACACCAGCATTAATTCAAGCCTGTTTGTTAGCAAAAATATTTCATTAACCACTGAATGAATCCCAATGAAACTGTTAGAAATACACGATTGGCTGAACAACTTCAACTGATTAACTTTAGGAGTCAACCCAATTCAAGATGGCTGCTGAAGTTGGTCCCTTGCCTGCACAAAAATAGCTCAAAACACTATAACAGCTAACTGATCATTTGAGATGTTGTGTTATTGCAATATTGCTCAAGTGTACATAAGGTAGTTTTCAAGGTTTGACCAAAATGCACACAGACCATCATTCCTAAACACAAAATGGCTTTAGTCTAAAACCTTTGGATATGGGTGATGGGTATTCCTTTAGGAGTGCTAGGCCATTTATTTAAACTTTTTTTTTTCACCATTACCTCTTAAACGTTGACCTGACCCTCATGTTTGCATTGGGATTATTCCAGAAGTGAAAAGCACAAGTAATAAAAACTCTTGACAGTTTAAATGCTGCACATTTAAGACCTGAACTCATGATCTTGGAAGCAATTTTGGCAACATACTGGAAACTGGTTTGGCTAGTCGTCACTAATTCAATAAATACCACGAAGCTGAACAGGCGTCTATTTTATGGCAACTCCTTTCAAATAATCTATTCTTGAAATCCCATCTTCAGCATAGTAATACCTTAATTTTTGCTTTTTAAAAAAGAGATTTACTCAGGATTGTCACGTTAGTTTAACAGTATGAGTTTATACGCCGATGACATTTTCATTATACGCTCAAAGGATCGTAACATGTTATGGTAATATGTCATTGTAATATGTTATCGTAATATGTTATGGTAATATGTTATTGTAATATGTTATGGTAATATGTTATGGTAATATGTTATTGTAATATGTTATGGTAATATGTTATGGTAATATGTTATTGTAATATGTTATGGTAATATATTATCGTAACATGTTATCATAATATGTTATCGTAATAAGTTATGGTAATATGTTATCGTAACATGTTATCGTAATATGTTATCGTAACATGTTATGGTAATATGTTATGGTAATATGTTATCGTAATATGTTATGGTAATATGTTATCGTAACATGTTATCGTAATATGTTATCGTAACATGTTATGGTAATAT